CCTTATTTAGAGCAGTATGTTCAATAAAAACGAAGTGGACTGTAAGCGTAATACCTTTCTTTGGTGAATCACCAGTAGCAGAAGCTGAGGGAGCATTAGGCACCGGAGCAACTTCGAAGACTTTTCTGTAGACATGTTATAGGTTTAAACATGCAAACACCACAGACCCACTATAGGATTATTTCAGTACAAGATCTTGTCCAAATTATATCAATCTTTAGGACTCTATTGATAAACACAAAATTTGTGGGTACAATTAAGATCACAGTGTATGTACTGGACTGCTAAAGGAGAAGACTATTATATCAAAGGGTTGAAGAAATGGAAACTGTCCTTGAGAAGAGAAGCCTAATCCTTGTTAGGTAGCAGGCTCGATGGAGTATCAAAAATGCTAAATCCCATCAATGGAAAGACCTTATGGATATAACCATCATGAAATAAAAGCAATTACCTGGTTGGAAGAGTTTCCTTGACGGAGAGATATTTTTTCCAATATTGTTTAGTTGACTTGTGAGTTGCCTTCTTGATACCTCCTTTATAAGCTCTAACCATGAATTCTTCACTTCTTTCTCTGCAAATACGTTTCTTTAGTCGAAATGTGTGCCCAGAATTGTTATATTGCAGACAAACACAGAGCGTTTTTCGGGAAAAAGACAAATCGCTAATAACTTACATTTGCTCAAAGTTTGATAACCACATAAGATAGGCTGCACCAAGATATACATTTACAAAAGGCTTGTACAGAAGTTTCGAATCCCCGTCCACTCCATAGTTCTGGTAAGACAAATCTCTGCAGAAAGGTCAATAACCTCGTTTTTAACAAGCTACGAATGATCAAATGGAATCCTCAAAAGAGGCATATTGTCTCAATGAAAATCAGATATTAAAAAATTTTGTACCTGACCAGCCACTCCGCAGTTTTTGGTGAGATTTGCATGATTCCCATCGTGCAATCTTTAGATTTCTTGTTATACTGCGTGGCCAGAGTCTGTCTACCACTTTCAAGTTCAGCAATAGCACAAAGCATGTCCTATAGAATACGAGAATGATATGTCAGTTAGAAACATCTATAATGATAGTTCCAATTCAACCTGAAACCATAAGTCACTTTAAAATTCTATCACCCAACAAACCATGCAGTTTAAATTCTTTAAATGATTTGTGACATCTGTTGTGATCTAAGCAGTGCTATTTAATCTATAAGCAGAATATCATACCGAATCAATCTGTGAGATAAAATGCCTCCGGACAATAATTCCCGCCACAGCCTGAAAAAAGAAAGAATCTTGATCTTAAACTATATTTAATTGCAGAGAAAAATGCATACTTTTGGAGGCTGCCTAGCTGTTGACGAGAAATTGACAGTTGCTTGAGTATCATAATTCCTATAAGCCGATATAGAGCAATTCACTGTAATACCACTCTTCAAATTTATTGACCTTGCTGGATTTTCAATTTTTCAATTCTAATGTCCAACAAAGAACTCAAATTAGGTGCTGCGGTGGTAAAATAACTGTAGAAATTTATTCACTTCACCTTCATCTCAGTTTGCGTCAAGTAAGGCTGACCATCAGGATCACGTGAGAGGTGGACCTTTGATCCCATAGTCTCTCCAACATTAAGCCATTCTGCCCTCACGTCAGGATCCGTCCACATCGCCTCCAAGTCTTGTGGATCCACACAATCATTCCAGTATTTGAAACTAACGGTCGCCATCCTTGTGAATGCACTAAATGCTTCTCATGTCATCTAAAAGCTAGGTAGCCAGTATTAACGCAGACTATCAGTTACCTGGAAATATGAAAATTGATGCGAGCATAAAATAAAATAAAAAATCAGTACTTATTCGCACAACCTACTTACACAGTCAGAGTAAGATACGGCTTCTAACTATAACTGAGAACCAAGGTTTTCATCGGTAAGTCATGTACTGATGACTGAAGTTCTTAATAGCGGAGGTAAAGAAGTTGAAAAAATTACAAAATATAATCATATACAAAAATGGAAATTCCAAAAGTTGAACTATAATCAGGAGAAGCTACATGACCAATCTGAAGGAAAAACTTAACACAATTCAGGAAAGTAATGAAGACTTGGGCAAGGCAAATGAAGCTTAAATTGAACTGACGTGTCATTTATGTTTTAGCAATGATCCCATTAGGAGAGACAGAAAGCATTTATGAAGCAATTTGAAGACTACGTCCTTCAACTTTAACATAGCATGTAAACAATAGATAGTCGACTACAGACACTCAACCCCAAAAAATATGTGACTTTTAAAATAACCAAATTACGGATCATATACAAGTTGCAAAGTAATGTAATTGGAATAGAAGATCAATTTTCTTATAATTCTGGCAAACTATTAAAAAAAAATGCTCTGGGACCACTACAACACATCACAATTAAACACGTTTGGGAAGTGTTCATAAGCAATTTAAATTATAAATAAATAAAAATACATGATGAATAAGAGGGTAATACTTGTTCCTCGAAATATGTGGATAAAAGTGGTTGTGTTTATAAATAGATTATAAACACGAGCAAAACCTATGCTTTTCTTTACTCTGATATTTGAAAGAGCAACTCCTAATCATAATGGCTTTACTATCTCACGAACCGAGTTTTTACTTTGAGCAACTTCTAATGATTTTTCATAATCACTTCGAGAATATCACAGACTTCTTCTCAACTATTCACAAATATTGGTCAACATTCCTATCAAATAGCATTAGAGGAATAATTTGTAAACTGAATCATATAATGTAACGACTCAATTTTTATGCCCAAACTGTTATATTATACGTATTATTTGCTTTAGGTGGGCATCTGCCCATTTACCTCCTCACGGCTTTCTATCTTGTCCCCCCATGATTCGAACTCAAGATCTCTGCTTCATGAGCAGCGACGGATCCAGCACCGGCGAGCACCAACGATTGCCCGTTCGACTCTCAACAGTTGCAGTCCTTTATTCAAATCATTTTAGTTTAATATTTTTCACAATTTTGGAGTATAGGCATTAAAACCGGTGCAATAAGAAGATTCGAACCTGTGACTTCCTTTGAGATTATAAAAGTTTGACCATTATGGTATTTTGTGGATGTTGATATCAAATTTAACAAAAATATATATGTTCAGTTTTATCAAGTAATTGATATATTTTCTATTTCTTTTAATTTTTTTTAACTAAATCTTGACCTTACAGTGACAAGTGGTTAAACTACTAATTCGATAACTCAATAATTTGTTCAGGGGCAACGATCGGATCGGATATGATAATTATGTTTTGAAGAGTGAAAGAATAACGAAGAAGAAAATTAAATTGGTAGTTGACATTTAGGGTGTGTTTGATAGGGTTGATTTTCCATGGAAAATTTTTCCATTTTCCATTTTTTTGGTGTTTGATAGCATGCTTTTTCTTGGCAATTGGAATTACCACTTTCTCTCACATGGTGAAAATTTCTAGATTTTCCTTGAATTCTTTTTCCCACCATTTATGTGAGAAAATGTTTTCATGTTTTTTCTTTGCAATGAAAACAAATTTCATAACTAGTTGTAAAAAAAAATTCACTTTAATGGACAATTTTCATGCAAAACAAAGTCACACGAACATTAAATTCTATTAAAAAAATGATTTTTTTGGGAAATTTCTTTTTTCTTTTTTTTTTTACTTTTTGGCAATGGAAACAAATTTTATAATCAATTGTGGAAAAAATTATCACTTTAATAGACAATTTGCATGTAAAACAAAGTCAAACGAACACAAAATTTAAAAATTTCCCTGGTGGAAAATTATATCAATTAAACACACTAAATTAACAATTTCCTACAAAACAATTTCTAGATAATTATTTTACCTGGAATTCATTTTCTTTCCATCCATTTTCCACCCTTACAAGCAAACGGACCCTTACTAAAACTTAAAAATGTATTTTTTATTTTTATTTTCATTAGAGACTAATTAATCAGCAAAAAATTTAGCAGAAGGGATAAGCATTGACACCAATTTTTCTTCACATATTCAACGATAAAATCTTTGTCACATTCAAAACTACGAAATAGTCCATTTTTTCTGTTAGATTTATATTATTAGCAAATCAAACCTTGAAAGTAAGTAATTGGACCTACTTTTCAAACTTGAAATTCTTACACGATATATATCAATAGATGGGTAGATAACGTACATTCACACTTACAATTCGAACTACAATATAATTAATTTCAATTCACGGTATTAATTATTATTATGGTCAATGGCTGTTCGTGCTTACTCAAGATCCTGAATCCGTCATTGCTAATGAGAGACTTAAGTTGAGAAAGCCACAAGTGGGTAATTGGGCAAATGTCAACCTAAAGCGGACAATACGTATGATATAGCGGCTTAGGCATAGAGATTTGGTCATTACGTAAACAACCATGATTGAGCAAGAGTTCCAATATTCCATCCCTCGAGACAATTTAACATTTTCTTGAACACGTAGCAGAACTCGGCAGAGTATTTTGAATGTTCATGTAAATCACTATACCATCAAGCCAAAAGCCAAATACAGCCAAATCTGCAATATCATATTGCATGCAGCACCCTACCAAATTTCCTCCGATTTGACAATAATAGAGAAAATTAAACAGGACCCAAATTGTTTATTCCAAGTTTATAAAGCCCCCATTTGGCGTGACTTAAAATGTTGATAAAAGTATAAGTTAAAACTCAATAATTAATATTAACCACACAGAAATGAAATCCACAAATTTTATCTACTTTTCAATCATGCACTTCATCAAATTTATCAGAGTGAACAATTAATTTTAAGCAAGTATATTTCATAGAACCACAATTTTTCAAACACATGTTTCATCCGCCTTTATTAAAATCTACAAAAAAAATCTGATTTTTAGCAAAATGAAACTGGGATACAAGAAAGAACATTCATAATCGAATTTGTGTCGGAAGGACCCAAATTGAATAATTGCATGAATAAATTAAACAGAACGTAAGATCATTTGAATTGTATACATTGCATATTCAATTATCCATGAGTCCTATTCATGTCACAATATTCAAATATTGATTTAATCATCAAAAAGACAAGCATTCAGAAAAAAAAAAAAATTAGAGCCAAAAGAAGAGCAGAGGAAAGTGTACCAAAGATGAAGACGGGAGATAATGGGAAATGGAAGTCTCCACAGTTTCTGAAACTTAAAAGATAAATTAATGGAAGGAAAAGAAATACCTTTTTATTCTTCGAGACCTTTACCCGGAGAAAATGGAGAATTTTCAGTTTAATCGAATTTCATAGTCTAGTGAAAACCAGAATGTAAATCGACAATAGGGATATCCTATTTTTGGTTAATTATAGGCTTCGTAGAGGGAAGGTGTACGAGGTGACACATGCTGTGTTCTCCAGCATTACATTCTACGGCCATGGCCCATGGACAAGATTTGTCATCAAAAGTTCCGAAGCTGAATGCGGATTCTCATTCAGTAGTCATCAAACTTCTGATTGTGAAATTTACAGGAAAAGTCCTTAACTTTTGAGAAATAAATCATTTAGATTCTCATTGAATTTGTGCCTACTTTCAGTGCAAGTAAATCCCTACGAGAATGAAAATTTTCAATGCTTCCATCTAGAGCATGGTAATTAAGTCTTTATTTGGCCTTCACTTTCAGAAGAGTGATATTATTTAGCACCATTAGTGTTTAACATTAATTTAGGTGGTATTACTTGTAGAGTCGGTCCTGAGAATTTTGAGATTCTAGGCTATTAATATTATGAGGCTTTAACATATATATATAGATATATATATATATATTTTTTTTACAAGCGTAGATGGATATTTATATTTTAATGAAAAAATTGTATTTAAACAACTAGAGAAATTAGTGTAGCATAATATTTAGCAAAATTATCCCATTGATGGATAAAATATTGTCAGAATGAAAATATTTATCTCCAAAAATTATTATTTGAGAAAATAGGAGTAAGGTACAATTTATCAAATTCTAGAGAATTTAATAAGTGAAGTCAAAATCACGAGAAAGTTTTAATGACCATGTTTGAAGTCCTAGAAAATATTATGTGGATGACTCGTAAGGAGAAGAGTGATTCTCGGGAGTCGGGGCTTTAAGCCGAGATTGGCCCTTAATGCAAAAAGTGTAAATTTTAGGGATTATAGTAAATAAGTGAGAAGATATATTTTTAGATGATCGGATGATGAGTTAAGATTATCGAGAAAATATCGCCAAATTCTAATGATTTTGATTTGGGAATCTTTTAATAATTTTGAAATCTCGAGAGATAATAGTGAAAATAAGTTTTGAGGTTGATAATATATTTGGACCAAATGTGTATTTATTGGAGGATAAAAAATTATTCTATAAATATTGGGTTCATTTCAGGAGTCATATTAAATGGCATATTAAGAATTCGAGAAAAAATTAATTTGGATAAATCAAGTTTGAGTTATAACACATTAAACTAAATTACTTGATGAATAATATATTAGTTTCCAAATTAGACCATATTAACATAACAATATTGGAATCGTTTAATATTTGTAATTAATTACGTATATTAAGTTCGAAAAATTTATATTAAATAAGTCGAACTATGTTAGAATCGACCAAAGAATATTGTAGTTACATAGTTTTTTTTAAGAAATTAACCCATTTCTAGTTTTTTAAGAAATTAAATATTGGTCCTTGTGTGGTTTTTTTTTTTGGTGAGGCCATAAGCCATTTTTTTTGGCTTAGGGTTAACCTTGATCACTTGTCTTATTAAATTATAAATTCAATTAAGTACAATAATTTATTATAACATCACATACTTATGTGTAAACTGGTTCTCTTACACCACTGGTGTTGGACAACACTTTTAAAAAAAATTAATTTCCAATCACATATTTTATTAATTTCTATTAAAATTTACTAAAAATTTAATATTAGCTAAATCAAACTGGGCTAAAACTCGGGGTTGTGTGGGATCACGAGGTGAGCCAGCGGTGGCGGTTTGGGTGAGGGTGGTTGATGAAGATGAAGCCCTCAAAAATCTACAATCGAAAGTTTTTTCTTCTAAATTCCTATTGTCAGCAAAAATGTCATGTATCTATTTGTAATTTTAGAAAAGATTTTGGATTCTATTGTAATTTTTTTTCTCTCTATTTTCAATTTAGTTCCTTTTTTCAGTTTTTCAAAATTTGAATAGGGGAAAATTTGTCACTTAAATGTACTCAAAATGTTTTGCTACATTTTCGAAAGTTCAAGAATGTACGATGTAAAAAAGAAAAATGACATTTATTCCCAGTGGGAATGCATCCCCAGTTCATGGGGATGTAAATGATTGGTTAAATGATATGTGAAATTAAATGACTTATTTAATTTCACATATCATTTAATGCCACAAAAACGCCATATAGACTGGAAATTCATCCCCAGTGGAGATGAATAGCATTTTTCTGTAAAAAAAGATTGAAATCTAATTAGTAAATAGTAACATTTCACAAAATTTGAGTACGGAAAGCGAAAAAAATAATAATAACCCATAAGAAGAATTTTCTATAGTTCGACAGGAAAAGCCTTAGTTGTTGGTCCACGTGATTGCATTGTTCCCATTCCACCTAACACTTCTCTCCGTGTGCCCTCCAAGCGCATTATAGAATAGACCGTCATCTTATACCATCCGTGCGCCTTGTCTTTGACTCGATTTCGGGCTGCCATAATCCATTTAACAAAAAAATGAGAAGTCAAACTAAGCCATTGTTTGAGCTCCATTGAAATCAATTTTTTAAGAAATAATTATTTTTTAAGAATGTGTGATTAGTAGAGAATGAAAAATTTTGAATTTACGTATAAATATATTTTTCTGTTTGTCCTTTTTTCACTATTTTTTAAAATCGAAAACAGAAAACGACTTAAAAATGGTAAAAAGAACAGACCCTACATTATTCCAACTTTCGCTAAAAGTACTTTAACCCGATAAAGCTTCATAGAATTATACAAACAAATTCAAAAATAATTTTTAAATTTTCAAAAATTTTGCGAAACAAACTTTAAAGTTTGAAATCTACTACTTTTGCTTTTTGTTGAAGAATTTAACGAGAAAGTTTCTTCTAATTAAATAAAATACTTTTACAAATTTATATACAACTAATTTGATAGATCCCAACTACTTTGTTATGGGTAGACTCATTCGACTAACTTTAGAGTGTGTTTGGTAGGAATTTTTGGGGGAAAAATTGATTTTTGAATAGTGATATGATGGAAAATGTGTGGTTGAAAAAGAAGAAAAAAATATTTATATGATGAAAAATATTATTTTATTGAAAAATGTGTGATTGAAAATGAGAATTGATTTACCGTATAAAATGAGAATATGTACCAAACGGGCTGTTCACCTAACCGTCCAACATAGTGTGACAAGAAGGGAAACCAACCTGACGTGGCTACCAAGGCCAAATCTGTAGAAGACGACAATTTCACCAACGTCAGATACAGAGTAACATTACGAACATTTTTGTTGGGAATCTCCGCTCAGCTGATTTCTCACGCATTTAAGTAGTCGTGCAAAGTTGGCCTGCTCTTCCCTTCAAAGGAAAAAACCTCTTGTTTCATTTCTAGGGTTTTGCCATTTATATAGTAAAGTGTGTACGGATCGATCGGTCGATCGGATTCTGTAGAGAAGAGTTGCTTGTGCATTTGTTGGAATCATGGCGTTCTCTTCTCTCCTTGGATCTGCGCAGTCTCCCGTCATCGGTGCTGAAGCTTGCCGCACGTCCGATCGATCCACGGTGACTTGCTTTTCCTTTGATTTATATGTCGTTTACGTTTGATCTACACTGTCCGGTTCCAGAATGAACTAGGATTGCTTGATTTACCTTTTTTTCCCCTCGTGAATAGTTTAGCATCCTTAGCCGAATGGATTTTGCTACTACATGAAAACCCTCGTGAATAGTTTAGCATCCTTAGCTGAATGGATTTTGCTACTACATGAAAAATGTACATAAGCAGTTACCCAAAATGACGTGAGCGAAAAGATTGGATAAAAAATGTTAATTGTATTTTAATATGACGAATGCTAGAGTACAAATTTGCAACTAAGTAATCCATTATGTAAATCTGAACGAACATGTAGCAAGATCCTTAGCCAAATATCACGATGGATTATTCTTTTTTTTTATTTGTTGGATTTTGACTTCGTGCTAGCCTTTAGTTTGTCTACTCTAGGTTATTTACATATGATTATAATTTGAATTAATAAGTTTTTGCATTTGCCGGATCAGCAAATTCAATGAAGAGAAAACAATAGAATGGATTATATAGACTGTTAAAAGGAACGAGAGAAGAAAATTTCAATTCAAATCTTGAATTCATGGAAGTTGGCTACTTGTAAAGAACTGTCAGATAGCTCTGCCCTGCTACCTTTTTTGCTCCTTTTTGAATTTTTAAATTCACATCTGCAGTAGGTTTTGAATTGCTGTTGATGTTTATGCCGGTCTCCTTCCCGATTCGAATGTTCAACGGGTTATAATTTCAGTTAATCAGTTTCTTTCTACTATCTCGTGTCCTCATTTTTGTTCAGTGTATGACAGATCTAAGTTCTCATAACAAAACTTCTAATAATATGTGTTTATATTCTCTATTTTAGATATCATGCCGTGGGCTCGGCAGCAATGTTAACTCTATGAAGTTCCAGTCTAGCATCTTTGGAGCTAATATTTCTGTGGATTCATCTTCCACATGGTTGAGTGAATGCATAGTCTTACATTTTTTCCTCTCTAATTTGGTTTAACATTTTGTGTTACTCTTAACTGTTTGTGAAAGCTAATACCATTCTGTGCAGGAAGTCTGTCACCCGCATTACTCAACCTATTAAAGCAACAGCAACAGAAATTCCACCAACCATTCCAAGTACGACTCACAATAGTTCATTCTTATGCTGCTTTTACAGTCAATTTTGCATTGAAGAGTTCTTTCTTAATGCTGTAATAAAGAGTTTGACAAGCTATATTTCTTGCATGTCACTGATCAGAGTCACGAAGCAGTGGCAAAACAAAAATTGGAATCAATGGTAAGTTTTCTAACCGCATCTTTTTTCTTGAATGCACATCAATATTTTTATTATGATATTTGTTGTTTTAGGACCTGTTATATCTTATCTCATCAGTCTACTGAATATCGTTAGGCTCTTTAGGTCAATAGTTCCGGTTAATAATTGTAATATATTTGAACTTTTCAGGGTTTGGACGTATTGGGCGGTTAGTTCTTCGAATAGCAACTTTCAGGGATGATATAGACGTGGTAGCAGTCAATGATCCTTTTGTTGATGCTAAGTACATGGTGAGTATTGCTCTGTGTGACTGATTGGTTGTATATCTTATTTTCCTTCTTGCATTTCAAGACGTGAGATGTCCAGAGGGTTTTGAAGAATGTTAATAATATGTGCTCATAATTCTTTCAGGCTTACATGTTTAAGTATGATTCCACTCATGGACCTTATAAAGGAACCATCAATGTTGTAAATGAATCCACTTTGGAAATCAATGGGAAGCAAATTAAAATTAGCAACAAAAGGTATCACCAGAATTTCGTGTCAGAAGTTCAATTACTGTTCTTTACCAGCATACTTATTCATGCTAGGTACAGCCTTTTGTCTGCCTGTGCTAATTCAAAATCCCCTGTGCAGAGATCCAGCAGAGATTCCTTGGGGTGATTATGGGACTGACTATGTAGTTGAATCTTCTGGCGTTTTTACTACTATTGACAAGGCATCATTACATAAAAAGGTTTGTTATATAGTTGTTTCGCGTCTTCTCTAATCTCGTATGAACAACTCACAAATTTAAAGCCATTGACCTTGTTCTACAGGGTGGTGCAAAGAAGGTTGTAATATCAGCTCCATCAGCTGATGCACCTATGTTTGTTGTTGGAGTAAATGAGAAAACCTACAAGCCAAGCATGGACGTTGTTTCCAATGCTAGCTGTACCACCAATTGCCTTGCTCCTTTGGCCAAGGTTGGACTGCATTTTTTTAATTTCGAGGGCCACAATTAATTTTATTTATTTAATGGATAAAGGAATTTTTTAAGATTATCCTTTTGTTGTGCCTGCTCCTCTTCGAAGAGAATCTGTTCAGATTATCATTTTGTTCTAGGTTCCTGCTCTTCTTCGAAGACTGGCTCCTCTAACATGATTTGATCCTTTTTATTTTTTATTTTTATTTTTTTGTTAAAGCCAGTGAAGGCAGATTACTATATTCATTAAGCCTGTTTTCCCAATTTTTTTTATCTTCACAGGTAGTTCATGAGGAGTTTGGTATCTTGGAGGGTTTAATGACTACTGTCCATGCAACGACAGGTATGTGTTGTGCGCACGCACTTATGCACATAGTACTTCCCAAAATAGTTAAGATTTTCACTTTAGCTTGTCATTGTTTTTATGCTTATCCCGTAAATATTCTTGTTGATAAATGTCCTCCAGCCACACAAAAGACAGTTGATGGTCCTTCGATGAAGGACTGGAGGGGTGGCCGTGGGGCTGGCCAGAACATCATCCCCAGTTCTACTGGTGCAGCAAAGGTATGTGGCAGTCTCCATTTGGAAAATTTATAAATCTGCAAATTTATGTGAGATCTTATGATATGTTTTGAATTCAACTCATAGGCTGTTGGAAAAGTACTTCCAGAACTCAACGGCAAGCTCACTGGAATGGCTTTCCGTGTTCCGACCCCTAATGTCTCTGTTGTGGACTTAACTTGTCGACTTGAGAAGAGAGCTTCTTATGAAGATGTCAAAGCAGCCATTAAGTATGCCATCATCTCTCTGCTTTTGCTTTTATCTGGCATTCTCACTCTTAATGAGCATTTTAAGGGAATTTCAAATTCTTCATACAACTGATGCCAAGTTGTCTGGTTAAAAATCAGATATGCTTCAGAAGGTCCATTGAAAGGCATCCTTGGATACACTGATGAAGACGTTGTCTCTAATGATTTTGTTGGTGACTCTAGGTACATATTCCTGCTCCTCTCTCCCCCCTCCACAAGAAAGAGCTTATGTAATTTGATGACTTGATATTGCTTGCAAGTAAAATTCTTATGCTTCATTGATGTAGATCGAGCATATTTGACGCGAAGGCCGGGATTGGCCTTAGTGCTTCCTTCATGAAGCTTGTTTCATGGTATGATAACGAGTGGGGTTACAGGTACAGTCTCTCCCAAAAATCTGTGTCCTAATGCAATAAGTACTTAATTAACGATGGGTTTGTTCGGCCTTTTTTTTACAGTAACCGAGTGTTGGACCTGATTGAGCACATGGCTTTGGTGGCTGCCACCAAGTAGAGGAATTTCTGCCGCCATTCCTGCAGTTTTTTTGTGCAAGCTCTGAGTTTCAAACCTGTTAGAGCTTGTTGTTTTTAGGTTGAATTCGGCGTGGTGTCATTTAGTATTTGTAACCACATAATCAATGTCTGAATAATGTATCTCGACTTGTAAGAACTCGTTTAGAAATACTTGTGCCTGTTTGTACTGCAAACCACATACTAGTACGTTATGTGGTACTTGGGCATTTATATACGTATGCTGCAGCATTATGTTGTGGTCGCATACACCATTTGAGTCTCTTTAAATAGTTGGATGGTTTTCTAAGTTCTACCCTTTCATGCATATTTATCCTACCTAAATGGTTGAATACACATTTTCATTATGCAAAAAATGCGGAAAATGTTTCTTGCACGTCTATTTACTTAATGATGAGATGTCAAAATTTAAGATGTGAAGTTATTTGATTGATGAAATTTTGATTCAATTAAATATCGGCACATAAACTGCTGGTAAATTATGTAAATTGTTATGTACATATAGCAGAATCCAAAAATGCAAATCTAGAATGCCATGTTTACAAGATATTCTTTCACAGGCTATCACTTTCTAGAGAAATAGTGAATTTCGAATGAAAATGAGAGGGGGGTGACAATGAAAGGTTTCATTATTTTATGAATCAGCAAAACTCTAGCTAGAAAGGTGTTTTATTTAAAATTGAGAGAGACGCCTCATGGGCCAACGAAGCTGAAAAAAACAAAAAGCAACTGGAGAGGTCAGATTTTATTTTTACGTTATTCCGCAAGTACAGGAATAACTCACAGAATTTTGACAGAATTTTCTGCATCCTGTCCATCCTTGTGTATTTTCCCTCTTCCCATCTTTGAATCTATTCCCTCCATGTCAAAATTTTGTATAAAATCTGTACAATTATTCTATACTTGTAGCAAGATTCTTTATTTTTTATTCGATTTATCTCAAATCTCACAGGAAAACATCAATAGGTGGGCCCTCCATGTGGGACCCACCTCATAAAAAATTCACCCCCAACCTATTGTGTGTGTTTTGGAGGGATTCTACGAAACCCCATACACCAAGAATAATCCATTTTCACCAAATTAATTGCTGTTATGCAACAATTTTTCCTTTAAATTATTCTTTTTTTCTTTTTCAAAAACAATTAGGGCATGCATGGGAGTTGACAAATGTTCATCCCCTTCTCCCAGCAAGTGTCACCCTTCTTAAACGTGTCAACAAAACCCTTTTTGATCTCATGCATCTGTTTGTGTATTATATATATATATATGCAGAGAGTTCTCTCTTCTAATCCGCACAGAGTTGTGTACTGGCAAGAAATGGCTACTAAAGTATTCTTCAGTTTCATCCTTATGCTACTACTGCTCTTTTCTTCTGGTAAGTTCTCTTATTCTCCTGTAATATTTGAAACCCCAGTTTTGGTAATTGTAATTACAGAATAGTTTAATTTGCTGCAGAGAATCCAGGTATACTGAGGGCAGAAGGACGATCGTGCGAATCACAGAGCCATTTGTTCCATGGAAAATGCTTCAGTGACAGAAACTGTAGGCATGTGTGTGCAAATGAAGGCTTCCCTGGCGGCAAATGCCGAGGATTTCGCCAGAGATGTTTCTGCACTAGGCCTTGCGTCTCCAACTAACTGCCATGGAAACTTCAAGATAGACATATGGCATGTCAATTCTATCTACTTCTCTCTGTGTTTCTAGCATGAATAAATTGTGTTTTATTTCCTTATTTTTCTATCGGTTTTAGTTTGGTTTCGTGTATGTATTATTACCCCCAGTGAGATCACCGTGCTAGATTTCAGAGATTTGAAATAATTACGTTTCACGCGAATTTATCGAGCCTCGCTAACAATTAAAAGATGGTTCAGACGATTGTATAAGAAACAAACCTCTTGAGACAAAGTCCCAACAATGAGTGCTTTTTTTATGAAGATTACAATGAAGAAGAAGTAGAACGCTTCCAAGAGGTACAAGTACACAAAGTAATTTGAAAGTTTGACGATAAGAACTAAAAGAAATGAAAAGAATGTCTTTAAGGGGCACAAGCACACAAAGTAATTTGATCGTTTGACGATAAGATTAAAAAGAAATGAAATTACATATTCTCTATTTGAGAGTGATTGATTCGGGGTGCTTCCTTCTATGTCTTCTTTTTCTTTTATACTCGTTCGCCAATTTCCTTCTAAAATCATTTAGAACCTGTTTGTCGCTCTATAACTATCCACTTGCTTCATAATGGTTGATGTGTCAAGGAACTATCGTTTTTAAATTGCTGCAATTACTCTCCTCTTTTAACTGCTTGCAACCGAGATTCTTGAATCGTGGAATGCGATAAGATTCCTCAATAACTGCTTTAATAACCATCGCTTTAAATAACAACAGGACAAACAGGACTCTATATTCGCTCAGATCTTGGGCTTCTTGGAGGTTTGGGCGAGAATGTGACCATCGCTCTGGGCGATGATAAGGTACTTCATTCGCTCATGCCCTGGGCGTCCGGCATGCTTGAGCAATAATAGTCATTCGCTTATGAGCCTTTACTATATTTCACAATGATCTCATTTGAGCCTATCCTTCAAATTCCTTAGTTGAGCCTCATTTCTTGGACCATTTACTTGGGCCTCTTTTTTGTATGTCAATACTTTTCTGTTTTTACGATTCAACGTTCGGTTACATTTTTTATAGATGGATAAGGTGAGAAAAAGAAAGCGAGGGATTTTATTTTTTAAGTTGGTTTGTAAATTTTTTATTCAATCATATTTCGTCATATCATTGATTGATAAATAAATTTGTAATCTGTGATGTATATGAAACACAATCATTAATTTAATTTACGCTTACAAATCCTGAAGTTTTGAAACCAAACTGTTGAAGAGAATTAATGTTCCTCCAAAAATGTATTGGAATTGTTATTTTTCTCAATTACTTGCAATGATGGTGCAAAATTACAAAGCTCAGGTTGATAGAATTTCAAGGTAAAAAATACAAAAACATTCACAATTGCAATGCTTAACTAGATGAATTAATTTAGATGTACATTTCTAGATGATATATTGTTGATATTATGTGAGTTATCAAAATTTGTGACATTGATCGTTTAAAGTACAGTTAAAATCAATGTATAACTCATGAGAATGTCATCCAAATAATGTACATGTAACTGAATTGTAGCTAGATAGTATTTCAAAAAAGAAAAATGTTTTCTAACAATAGTGATGTTGAACGATGTTATCACACCATATCTCCTATTAAATGGACCATAATTTTTTTTATTTAATCGAACTTGTAATTTAACGACACAAGTGCTATCACCTAAACTGATTTTTAACATCAAAAGTATTACTATATTTAACACCACTGATATTAAAATACCAATCTAGGTGACACAATCACTTAATTTTACCTTTTATTGAACATATCACTTCACGTCACCTAGATTGGTATTCTAACACAAGTGAAGTTTGAAAATACTATTTCTAACACTAATTGTGATAAATGGCGTCGCTCTTCAAGAAAATCAATACTCCACCAATTTCAAGTCTACAAGAGAGCATTATTTGTCAAAATGGCTCAGCACCATCTGTTGATACTCGAGCATTGATATCTAGTATCGAAAAGGCCACCTGTCCATTGCACATCGATAACAAAATGACTTTCATTGTTGCCTCCATGGTGGAAGCAATAATGCCATAGGTATAAACGGTTAGGTTCTAATTCAAAAAATAAATATTGCCACTCATAGTCAAGTGCATCTATTAAATTATACAAACCACATCAGTAATTGTTTCTTCCAAAATCGATAAAATGGTCAGTAAAAATACGGGTGTATAATTCCATTTGAAGCAAACTCATGATTATGCTCGCAGCTCTAATCACTCAAAGCAACCCCTCAAAGCTCGTAGCTCCAATCACTCAACTTACCCTTCTGAATTATGCTATTTTCGGTCAAGTAGTCAACAAATTCATCGATGAGATATGGCCAAGCACCTGCAGGATCATAATTTGACAATGCATGGTCCACGGTCTGCATTCATAGAAAACAATATCTATTGTGGTAAGCGATATAATAATCCCGACTATTTTTGTAAGCAAGAAAACAAAATCATGTATATCTTAAGATTATCGTGCACGTTCATGGGTCCTGGGAAGGGTGATTTGCTAAAGTTAGCATGAAAACAAAATCATGTATATCTTAAGATTATCGTGCACGTTCATGGGTCCTGGGAAGTGTGAGTTGCTAACTGTTTCAAGTTTTGATTCACCAAAAAACACGAGCCATCTAAATAAAAGAGACAAGCTGTGACATGGATGGTGATCTATGGAGGGTAACAAGAAGGGGGGATGTGAGGTGTAGCTTGGCCTAGAAAGGTTTGTTATTATTCATTTTATTCACAATATTTACCCTTGCAAACTCCAGCAGTTGGGACCAGGTGTCCCGTGAGATGGCCTTGTTATGTCGTGCCTGAATCATCAAAACCAAGAAAGTAAAATCGTCACAAAAAGTGTGTATAAAGAGAGAGAAGTCATTTAGTAGTTTATTTGAGAAAAAGTAATTAAAAACGTAAACATGAGGATGAACAAGCACATAAAATACAATTCAGTCAAAGCTCAATCAAAAAGTGTGACATGTTAATCTCAGAGTCAACCCCAAGAGAACACTAGCTGAAAAATCATGCATGAAGTTGATTAATCTTGTCCCAGCAACAGTGATTCTGGAACTCTCACAACAAACAAGTTCAGCATTATAGTTCCACTGCACCTACATTGAGTCTACGTTTTTTGGTTGTCCTTCCTGATTTGTGATTGATTTTAGTCCTGGAAAAGACACACTATTCTTCTTCGAGTTAGGATTATGCCTTGGACTATTATCTCGGCATAAAGTTCTACGTTCTTTCTTTTTTCAGGATAGTTACATAACATTGATAACTTGCAGCAGATCTTGCTTTCTTGAAGACCCTGTTCAGGAGGAAGGGGTTTGACCACTGGATTGGAGTCCTTTTCATATCTTTGATCCTCCAACTTCCACCCAATTTTCCTAATAATTCAGCTCTATAAACCTGATATTTTCTCCTATTTTCAGTTGTAAAAACAATTTGGAAAACCATCCAGAAAACGATATGATAAACTACTTGATTGTTGGGAACTTTGACTGTCTTAGCCAGTTCTTGACAGAGTGCGAGCATCAAACAGACTTTCAGATCTTCATCAATTTCCCACTATATAACAAATTATTACACCTTAGAAAATTAGAACCATCCAAAACTGCAGTTCTTGATTAATACAAGTACCTGAGATTTAAAATTCCAACTAATCAGACTACATGTTTTTCATCTGAATTTAACTTTCCATTACTTCTTCAAGTTTCAGTTGTTTTCCGACAATTGAGAGTTGAAATTTTGCATAGAAGAACGAATTGAATACATGATAAATTTTAATAATTTTTAATATATGAATAAATGTATGAGTTATAAATAGAAGATAGGGTAGTTGAAGGATCCAGATGCAGTTTCTCGTACCTGCAAGAACTGGCACCAATGATCGACTAGTGGCCACTGCTTCTCTGCAAATAGCAACTGCCACATCCCAATTGCTGTATCCAATGCCAAAGACTTCTGACCCTGAATCAGAATATAAGATCAACCATCTGAATGTTGTAAACTATATCAACTGGTAGAATGGATTTACCCAAAAGATAATTATCACAAGCCATTTCGAGTACGGAGTAAAAGGCTAAACGTATTTGACATTGAATTGATTCTCCTTTATGGAGAATAATCAGGAACGTATCGTCAGATTTTTACAAGAACACATAATACTCGAGGTTCCCTTTCCATACTTACCAATCTAAATTACCAAGCTGATATTATGCAAAATAGTGAAACAGAGAAATGAGGCGGTTCCAGCTGAAGTGTTCACACAAGTCATTATAAACGAGGCTGTTCCAACTGAAGTTTTTACATAATTCATTTTTTGCAAATCATAAAATCTAGCTCTTTTAAGATTTAAAATGAAGAAAGCCTGATCAAATGTGAAAGACAAGGATCGTTGTAGTTCATCCTCGCAACTTTTCAAGGTACACGACTCGACTCTTTGGGGGTAATACAGCTGTCTTCAGTATTGATAGGCTCCATTGTGGTTTTTGAGTTACCAACACCCAAAAGAAAATTCAACTAACAAATCAATGTATGAGGCAGCATTTTGCTAAAACATCTCAGAAAGAATTAACAACAATTCCAATCCAAGATGAATGATGGCAATTAAAAAAGATAATTTTGACTGTTGAACAAGAAAATTACCTTCTCTTTTGCCCAGCCAAATGCAAAGTTATAGATCTCTCTGAATTTTTCTGGATAAAGTAGCAGTAAATCATTGAGCACTCAGTACATCAACAATTCATAAAAGCTTTGGGTAAAACATGACATTAATAGGAGGATGGACTAATTTCTTTGATTACTAATGGGGAATTCAATGTTGCACATACGTTCATCTTTTAGTTCGGATCTCATGAATGGTATTCTTTCTCTGAACTTATCCAGTGAATCTATCCTGCATCAGAGATATATACTTCAGTTATGAAAAATTCAGTTCACACAAAGTAGCAAACTTTAACAAAATAAAAGGAGAAAAACCAAAA